ACCCACTCACTCACCCACTCACTCACTCACCCACCCACTCACCCACTCACCCACTCACCCACCCACTCACTCACTCACTCACCCACTCACCCACTCACCCACTCACTCACCCACTCACTCACTCACCCACCCACTCACCCACTCACCCACTCACTCCCCCACTCACCCACTCACCCACTCACCCACCCACCCACTCACCCACTCACCCACTCACCCACCCACTCACTCACTCACTCACCCACTCACCCACTCACCCACTCACTCACCCACTCACTCACTCACCCACCCACTCACCCACTCACCCACTCACCCACCCACTAACTCACTCACCCACTCACTCCCCCACTCACCCACTCACTAACTCACCCACCCACTCACCCACTCACTCCCCCACTCACCCACTCACCCACCCACTAACTCACTCACCCACTCACTCCCCCACTCACCCACTCACTAACTCACCCACTCACCCACCCACTCACCCACTCACTCCCCCACTCACCCACTCACCCACTCACCCACCCACCCACTCACTCCTCCACTCACCCACTCACTCCTCCACTCAAACACTCACTCACCCACCCACCCACTCCCCCACCCACCCACCCACTCACTCACTCACCCACTCACCCACCCACTAACTCACTCACCCACTCACTCCCCACTCACTCCCCACTCCCACTCACTCCCCCACTCCCCCACTCCCCCACTCACCCACCCACCCACTCACTCACCCACTCACTCACTCACTCACCCACTCACCCACCACTAACTCACTCACTCACCCACTCACCCACTCACTCACCCACTCACCCACCCACTCACCCACTCACCCACTCACCCACCCACTCACTCACTCACCCACTCACTCACTCACCCACCCACCCACCCACTCACCCACCCACCCACTCACTCACTTAATCACTCTCTCACTTACTCCCTCATTCATTCACTCACTTCCCTACTCAGTTACTCAACTGCCTACTCACCCACCCATTCACTCACCCACTCAACCACCCACTCACCCACCCACTCACTCACCCACTCACTCACCCATTCACTCAACCACTCACTCCCCCACTCCCCCACTCACTCATTCACTCATTCACCCACTCACTCCTCATTCACTTAGTCACACAGCAGTGACCCACTGAGCACCCACCTAGTGCAGGCACAGTACTGGGTGCAGGGCACAGAATACTGCAAAGCCCCTGCAGTCATGATGTTTGAGATGGACAATCAATAAGTAAAGAAATAAGCATACACAGAAAATGATGGATGGTGACATCACAGGGATGAGAAGAAAGCCTCCTGAAGAGGAACAATGATGTCACAAGCTAGGGATGTGAAAGTGCCATGGAAAGAACTAGAGAAGGGAATTTCCAGCCAACTACATAGACAAAGTCAAGTTTGCACAACCACCTGCGGTCTGGGAGAGCTGTGGGGAGTGTGGCAAGTGACGATGGCTGGGAGGGGACCGGAAGAGACAAATGGCAGATCATGGGGCCTCAATGGGGAGTGGGAATTTGTTCTGAATGTGGTGGGAAGTCATTGAATGGCTGGAACAGGAGGGGATGCACCTTGACTTTGAATTCTAGAAAAAGCACCAGACTCTGAGATGCCAGCACTTCCCCTTCCTGATGTCCTGGTGCTCCTCGGAGCCCCGCTTCGCCATCTGGCTTCAGTACTGTAATGAAGGATGCCCTCTGCTCTCTCCCACCCCATCTAATGGACTGAGCGTGACCCCCTTAGACTCATGTTGAAATCCTAACTTCCAATGTGAGGGTATTAAGAGGCAGGGCCTCTGAGGGTGATTAGATCATAAGGAGGAGCCCTTATGATCAGTCCTTATAAAAGAGATCCCCGAGAGCTCTCTAGCCCTCTTTCTGTCATGTAAGGTCGTAATGAGAAGACGGCCATCCGCAAACCAGACACTGAATCTGCCGTCCTTTGATCTTGAACTTCTAGCCTCCAGAAATGAGACATAAACTTAAGCATTAAGCTACCCATTTTGATGGTAATCTATTAGATGAAGACATGGTCCTTGCCTGGTCTCCTCTTCGTCACAGGGCTTTGTGCTGCAGAAAAAAGCCAACACCTGGCAGGTAGCCAAGCTTCCATCATTTAGATCCAGCTGGGTCCCTCCAATATAGGCCAGACTTCCCTCCATATGAGGGGCTTTCCAAAGAATGTCTCCTGGCCTCAGAAGAGGAAGCAGTGGCTGTCACACACTCCTCCCCTGTGGTTTCTTACTGTTGTTGGTAAGGACACACAGGGCTGCAGACAAGGGCTCAGCCTGCCCTGGCGTCTCGCAAAGTCCAAGCATGAGCAGAGATGGGGCAAGAAAACTGGAAAGCTGCAAGACCCAACTTAAGGAGAAGAGGAGCAGGGATGATCCAGCCCACATTCTACTTGAACCCTCAATTCCATGACTTGCTGAGCCTTTTTAAGTGTTTTATTTATTTGTTTGTTTATTTATTTATTTTTGTAGCACTGGGGATTGAGACCAAGGGCCTTGCACATGCTAGGCAAGCACTCTACTACTTGAGCCACACCCCTGGCCCCTTTTGGTTTGTATTTTGTTTTTGAGATAGGGCCTAGCTATCTTTGCTGAGGCTGGCCTCAACTTCGCGGCCCTCTTGCCTTGCCTCTTGAAAAACTGGTATTACAGACACGTGCTACTACAGCTGGTTTCATGCTGGGAGTCCTGCCAAGCAGCATGAGGCAGAGAAGACTGAAATGTGGCCCACACACAAGGGACACCCTGGCTAACAGGTCAGAGGCACGTCATACATGGTAGTTCCCTTGAGCTAGTCCTAGAAGCAGACTTACATTTGTGATGTAAGTGAAGTGGGATTAGACGGTCGTTTCAATAATCAAGGTCACTAAGTAAGCGGGTGCATTCTAGAGCCCCAAAAGGGAAGGCAAACCATGGCGGTGTTAGAATAACATCAGTTGCCGGCACTCGCTCAGCACAACACTGCACTGCTCCAAATGCCTTGCACATCTTAATTCACCGCAAGCCTCAATGGCCTGGGAGGGTGTTGCAATCAGGAAGGAATCTCCACGACCTTGGCTATGAAAGAAAGATTTATATGGTCAAATACTTTAAAGTTGGCAGCCTCTATTCATTATAAGATCCATTAAGTAAATCCAAATGCAAACCACAGGAGGGAAAGAATAATGAGAGGCATATATACCCAAATGAGTACATAAAGAATACCTGCAGGGCTGGTGGACTGGCTCAAGTGGCAGAGCACCTGCCTAGCAAGTGTGGGTTTAAACCCCAGCACTGCCAAAATTAAAAAAGTAAGTAAAATTGTACCTTCTTAGAAAAAAAAAAAAGAATACCTGCAAAACATCAAAAAATAATTCAAGACAGGGCTAGGGAGTGCGGCTAAAGTGGTAAAGCTCCTGCCTGGCAAGCACAAGGCCTTAAGTTCAAATCCCAGCACGACCAAAAAAAATTTTTTTTAATTCAAGACAAATGATCCGTGGACTTGAACAAACTGAAGGGCTACGGATGGGAAGTAAGTCCGTGAAAGATGCTCACCCTCACCAGCCTTTAGGGAAATGCAACTTAAAACCATGACGAAACATCACTGCACACCCAATAGCATGGCTGCCATAGAGAATACTGACAGCATCGAGTGCAGGTGGGAAGGTGAAGGATCTAGAACTCACACTGCCCAAAGCTAGAGAGGATGCCAATGGCAGGGCCACACTGGAACATGATTTGGCATTAGTACCTTAAGCCCCTCCTACTCAAAGGCCCAGTCATTTCCTGTCTGATAATTACGCAGACTTGGATAAATGTGTAAGAACTTAACCAGCAGTACCAAGCACAACGGCCATCCTCAAAACAACCCAAACGTGCACCAGCAGATCCAAAAAGGATGAGTGGTGATAAGTCCAAATAATGTAGCAATGTGAGAAGATAAAAATGTAAAACTCTGGCTACAGAAACACACACAGACTCCGATGACTCGCAAATGTCAACAGAAAGAAGCAAACAGTATCTACAGCTCAATTTATGCAAAATTCAAACGCTAGCAACATGAACTCAAGCGTCTAGGGACCTACAAATAGGTGGTAAATTCATAAAGCAAAGAATGACACCTGCAGCATTGGGACTGTGACCTCTGCTGCAGAGAGAGGGAATCATGTCTAGGAAGATGGCAAGGTTCTATTTTTTGTCCTGCTCCAGCTTCTTGCCCCTAAAGTTAAACATGTAGCCATGAGTCACACCCTACACAGGGCTTTGACTTTTCTAGAGCTTTCTGCCAGTAGCGTTGTATGCAGCTTTGCACTAGACAGGTCTGAGACGTTTTACACCAGGCACTGGCCCTGCGATCTCCTAGCTCTGTGCCCCAGGCCTCAGTTTTCCCACCTGTCAAGGGCGCAGTTCCCCATTATGACTCGCTCCGAGGGTAGGGCAATAAGTGTTTCAGAGTGCTAGGGTGAGAGGTGATTGGAGCACAAGGAGTCTTCATAACTGGATTAACACCATTAGTGTGAGAGGCAATTGGTTATCCCAAGAGTAGGTTTGATAGAAGGTTGGCTCCCTCTTGCCCTTTCACCTTCTGCCACTTTATCTCACATGCAGCATGAGAGACTTCTCCAGACACTGCCCCTATCTGCAGGACTTCCCAGCCTCCAAACTGTCAGCTAAATAAATCTCTTTTCTTTGTAATTCATCCAATCTGTGGTCTTCTGTCATAGCAACAGAGGACTAAAACAAAGGCCTTTGAGGGTGACAATCCTAATGCCAGAGATTGTGCAGGCTCCTAAAGAACAGCGAGGCTGCTGGGAATGAGGGCAAGCTGGACTCCTGAGGGCTGACCCTGCCAGCCCTGCCACGTTGTCCTGCAGGTACCTCAAGCCGTCTGTCAGTGGGGCCCAGAAGACATCTTTCACCAGCCAATGGGCTGGGGCCATCAAGGGCAGGTCACACAGCCTATTTCCTGGTTTCAAACAGGGAACTTAGCAAAGCAAAGCAGCAGACACTCAGCCAGTCACTTGCCAGAACTTGGAAGAGAGAGCGGAAGGGGCTATGTGACCCTCTCCTGGCCCCTGGACCCCACAGAGCCTGAAGACCTCAGGTCGGTCAGTGTTTGATCCTGAGTTTAATTGGCTTCTGCCTACTGTGGCCCTTTCTCCTCATCCTGGGGCCTTCTCAGTACTTGTTGGGGGCAGAGTGGGAGGGAGAAAGGTTGGTGACAGATTCTACATGTAGGGCTCTCCTTAATGCTTTGGGGCAGAGCAGGGAACAGCTACCCCAACCCTCCCCCCATCACCTCAATTCCTTTTGAAATGCCAGAAATTTGTACGATCCTCTTGGTCAAGCTGTGCTTCTCAAACACAGAGATCCTGCATCTGCCCAGCCCCAAGGCCTTGCAGACTCCAAGGCCCACCCAAGACACTTTACCTGGGTGCTCTGGGTATTGAGAGCTAGAAAAATTTGTTTTAGAACATTCTCAGGTACCCTACCCACTCCAGCAAGGATTCTGATGCACACTCACACTTGGGAGCCCCTACCCTTGGCTAGGCTTCTCAGTTGAGTGTTTGGGCTTCCAAGGGAGCCCACCTTTCCCTGGAAGGGCAGCTGTGGGTTGCCTTGGCTGGACACCACAGTAAAGACCTGGGAAAGCTGGTCATGAGGCCAGGGCTTATCATAAAAATTGAATTCAGTGGCCAAGGCCAGCTGCTCTTGGGCTTTTACTTTACTCTCTTTAAATGAGTGATTCCCGGTTAGTGGCCCAAGTTCCTGTCTCCCAGGGCAGGCCACGGGGCTTTATTTCTCTCTGCTAGAGGCTCCTCCCAGAAAGCTAGCAGGGGCTCTGCTGATGGCCTGTGTGCCCATCAGAACTGGACATGGCAGGGCCCCTGAAGGAGGACATAGGTCAGGCACCTGGGAGAAAAAGTGGAGGATGTTTAAGAATGCAGAGCTGGAGGGAGTAGGAGCTGAAGCTTCTCTATCCTCTGGGCAAAGTACAGGCCTCCACGCCAGCAGCACCAACGTTTGCAGTGTTTTGTCATAAAATCTAAAAATCTTTGCTACAGAGGCTGTGAGGAGAGGAGGGAAGGGCTCAAAGTACCCTGGTGTGATGGTCACCAAAGAACTTTTGGAGCAATGGGACTGCTTTCCCATTTCACAAATAGAGAAACCAAAGCTGGTAAATAAGTGAGACGTGCAAGCTATAGCCTGCTCAGGTGTGTGCAGTCCTGGGCCATCCAGGCCCCGGCTCTGTGCTTCAGTTTGTGCATCTATACAAGGTGAGGTTGGATTGAGGGTCCCTGAAGGCACCTACTGGACAATTGCCCAGTGGCCACTTGGGAAATGCTCCAGGTTCCTTCCAACTGCTACAGCAACAGCAGCCCCTGCTCTCGCTTCAGGGGTTCAGCCCCACTGGCTTCTGCCTCCCCAGGCCAGGCCCTCAGAAGAGGGCTCTCATGTCTACATCAGGAGACCACAGGGACACCACAGGAGGGGCTTGGATCTCCCTTCCCTCTAGGGTATAGTCAGCCAGGAAGTTCAGACCTGGGAACTGGAATCAAATGTCCAGAGTTAGTCCTGGCTTTGTGTGCAGCTTCCTCAGGTCCCGGTGTAAAGGAGGTGTGGTCATTGTATCCTCTTTATTCTGAATTTCTACATCTAAGTGTTGTCCCAGCCACTTGCTCTGTCTGAGCAAATCTTTTAATTGTCTCTTTCTCTAATTTGCGCTATTTGTAATTCTATTCCAGTTTATAGTTTCATTTATAACCATTTATTTCATAACTGTTTCTCAAAGCATCTAGTGTATGCCAGATACTAAAAACAGGGACAGCTCTACAGGGCCTGGTGTGTTCAGGGCCCCAGGCTGTTCTCCACTGGGTTGGCCTGACTTAGTGCTCACACCAGCCTCATGAAGGTGGGTTCTGCTATTATGCCCAGTTTATAGGACACCACGAGAAGCTGAGTGACTTGCCATCTACCACGATACCTCATTTACTTATCTGAGTCACAGAGTTACTACATAAATTAGTGCCCAGGAGCCTACTGCCTATTCTCCCTGTTCACCTCGGGAAGGCCAGCTTGGGTTTGCGTCCAGCCCTGTGTTTGAGCCGATCACATCTCAGTTCCTTTGTCTCAAAGTGGAGACAAGAACAGTTCCTATGACAATTGTGGTGAGATTAAGCAAGAGAGCATGTTGAGGGCAGGTATATGACCAGTATATCACAGGCATTTGGGACAAATTCTGCTTTACTCATTGGTCCATTCATCAGCCTAGTCACCTTGGGGTAGACTTCAGTTTCCTTATCTGTTATTTGGGGGGGGGGAATGATAGATTTTTGTGGGTATTAAATTAGATAGGGAGTGTGAAGAACTAGGGAAGTATGAGGTGGGCATAATAAGCTATCAGTAAATGCAGACTGACAGACAGAAGCTAGGTAGAGGATACCTGCATGTAGTAATATAACATTGACATTCATCAAGACAAACCAGCATCTTTCTCCCAAGTAATCTCCAGTCATTACCTTGGCGGGAAACCACCTCACTTGAAATCAATTGTACAAGAATCCCAGAAGGGTTTGGGCCTCTTGGGAGCAGTTGGCTGGCGGAGGGGTGGACCCAGGTTTGATCTGGCAGCTAGGTGGGCAGTGTGGGCCCAGCAGGGAGACCATTGTCACTCCCTCAGCCTGCCAGCAGGAATATAATAGGTATTCCAACCCCCCAACACCCAGGACCTCCAGGAGTGGGTATTCACTGTTCTCCCTTGCACCCCTGGCAGCCTTGCATCATGGCAAGTCCTCAGCGCCCTGGGAACCCTGGCTGGATGGGACCCATAACGCAGAGCACATCAAGGACTGAGCAGGAAGCATCAGCCATGGATCCAGACCTCCCATGTCCAGGACCTAAGAGACACTTAGGTGGGCTTGAGGTTCAGGGCTCAGGGAAGGGGACAGAGGTTCAAAGACATTTGGAGTACTTCAGTGGGTGCACCAAGCATCTACTGCTGGGCAGCCTCTTAACCTTGGTCATCCCAAGGGAGAGACAAGACAAGGATTTGGTACAGGTTGTTTACCTCAGAGGCATGGCAGGGAAAAAAGTTGTCTACCTGCGAGGCACGGCAGGGAACAGGACAGAGAGGGAGGAACGGACAAGAAGCCTGTACTTGGGATCACAGGCCTGAGTCAGGTAACTGGGGCTCATGCCAGCGGGGCCCCCTGAGTTGTCACATCTAAGGGATGAGGAAGCCAGGCAATTATCCAACAGTCTCATCCTGTGTGGGCTGAGGAGGCCTCCTAAACACGCTGCTGTGTGCCCCAGAAAGACCTCAGGGCGGCAGTCATAGTTGCTTCTTGAACCGGAAGTGTGTTCCAGAACACTGTTAGGGCACCAACCAAAGCACTGAGGATGTCAGCTGTAGCGCCATCTCCTGGCACAAATCCCTTCTTACAATCGTTTAAGACTGACCCCCTGAAGGCCTCCAGTGTTCAATCAGAGAAAGGGGAACAGATCAAACACTGTGCTGGCCTTAAAGCTCAGGAGGGAAATGTCTGGGCAGAATAATTAGAAATGACACAGAAAAACTATCAAAACAAGGAGGGTGGCTATGGCTGTAATGCCACAGGGCTGCTGAAGTGGCACGTGGGCTGCATGGACCCAGTAGACAAGGACTTCTGGAGCCTACAGTCCTTGCAGTAATGCACAAGTATTTGCATGATATGGGTGGGGAAAGCGTCTAAGCTCTCTCTAGATTCTCCAGGGGTGGTGGGGTCAAGTGAGGCTTAAGCGACACTGTTGGTTTCCAGCTGAGGAATGGGAGCATTGGATTTGAGGCAGAGGAGTAGCATTTGTGAGGAAAGGCAGTGATAAGAGAGGATGAGGAGGGGCCAGCCAGGCTGAGGCTGGCACACAACTGTCCCATAGCTGGTGTGTGATCGAGAGGTCCTTGCAGCAACCATAGAGTCTGTACTATGGAGGCCTCAGGAGCCTGGGTCCCTGATGTTAGGAGTATGGGGTTTCATAATGGTCCATCTGCAGCCGGAAGTGGGTGAGGCAACACATCCATGCTGCATTTCATAACCTAGAAACAGCTGGGAGTGATGGCTGTTGTTTGAGGTTGACGGGGTGGGTGGGTATAGCCATGTTGGGCACAGGTGTCCAGCTCATGCCCCCACTGGCCCTATAAGTGTTATAAATGCTGATTCTCACCCCAGACAGAACCAGCCATCTCCCCCAGCCCTTGCCTCTGAAGGATGCTGCCCTGGTGCAGATCCCTGAGGGGGCTGTCCTTCCAGATGACCACAGTGGCCCAAGCTCCAACTCAAGCATGACCACACGAGAGCTGCAGGAGAACTGGCAGAAGGAGAAGGGCCGCTGGAAACCCGTGAGGTTGCTCTTTGAGATCGCCTCAGCCCGCATTGAGGAGAGAAGAGTCTCCAAGTTTGTGGTAAGCTGAGATGGGGAAATGACCAGATCCCAGAGCCCCTGTCCTGCCTTCTGCCTGGCCTGGGCAAGCCTTGTGAGACCTCAGCCTTCCCACCTGTGGAATGGGTATTCATACACACTTGCAGAGGAGAAATGGGAGGTTCCATGTTTGGTCCTGGAAGGATTAGAGATGTGTGAATCACAGAAGGAAGCAGCCCAGTTCAACCTTATGTTATCAGATGTTAGTCACCTGTGTTCCTTCTTCACCAATTATATATCCTTGCATCATTTACTATGATTATTTGCTTACTTTTTCCCTTTGAATGATTTACTTTTTAAAAATACTAAATACATTTCGGTGAAAGACACATGACACAGAGGAAAAGTAATTATGAAAGTAAATACACAGAAAGCTAAGCTCTGTTATTACACTCTGGCTGGTTACCATGGTACAGAAAGCTCCGTGCTTGAGGCTGCTGTCTTTGTTAGACTGGAATTTCAGCCTGGGTTGGGAGGATGGAAGAGATAAGCTTTACCTTTCCTTTCCTTGCCACTGAGTGACAATTGCATGTTTGGCACAGTTGCCGCGGCTTCGGAGCATTAACTCATTCAATTCTCAACCCGTGCATGAGTAGGTATTATTCTTATCCTCAACTCATGTGCAAGAAGACTGAGGCTGAGAGGTTAAATTACCTGTCCAGACCACGCAGCAAGATTGGGGTGGGGCAGGAGTTAGAATCCAGACAGTCTGGAAGCACAAAGAGAACTGAAAGGGAGTAATGTTCTTGTTCAATAACATTATTTAGATGTCATGCCAGGGCACCTAAATAATGTTATACAGTAGATGGAACCAATTCCCAGGTGTTCTACACAGGACATCACAGTTGTAACCCAAGCTCACCAGTGCAGGACACAGAGGCTCAGTTTTGACAATACAAAGACAAAAGTGGCCCTTTGCACTAGCAGGTTCCTGTGCTCCTTTTCCTCTCAGATGTCTCCAGGCGCTGTGTTTGTTATCCCAGGGTTGATGCTTGCCATGAATCGTCTTTATAGCCCAGCAGAGGAAGGAAAAAGGGTAATGGGGCTAGGAGGTTGAATATGACCTTATATGTACAGTATATTCATGTATGTAAATGTAAAAAGGGTATTGGAGTGAATATGACCTTATATACATTATATGCATGTATGGAAGTGTCCAAATGAAACCCATTATTCTGTACAATTAATATATGCTAAAAATAAATAAATACACTATCCAACAAACAAAAACAGAATCACAGCCAGGCATATCCAGGCACTGCTTTAATCCCAAGGGTGGAGACAAGAGGACTGCAAATTCCAGGCCAGCCTGAACTATATTAATGAAACCCTGTCTTCACAAACAGAAAAAAAAAAAGTTTGCATATAAAGATAACCCATTTCCTGAGTGTGTTTATGATTATCCTCCTCATTGTCTTCCTTCGTGGGCGGGCTCGGGACGCAGCCAAAGGCTCTGTCCTGCTCTCCGCGCACAGGTGTACCAGATCGTGGTCATCCAGACCGGGAGCTTCGACAGCCACAAAGCGGTGGTGGAGCGGCGCTACTCCGACTTCGAGAAGATGCACAAGAGCCTCCTGAAGTCGTTCGGGGAGGAGATCGAGGACGTGGCTTTCCCCCGCAAGCACCTGACCTGCAACCTGGCGGCGGCGACGATCAGCGAGCGCGCGCGGTTGCTCAAGGACTACCTGCGCCAGCTCTACGCCATCCGCGCCGTGCGCCGCTCGCGCGACTTCGTGGACTTCCTCACGCGGCCCGAGCTGCGCGAGGCCTTCGGCTGCCTGCGCGCCGGCCAGTACGCGCGGGCGCTGGACGTCCTGGCCGCGTGCTGCCGCTGCAGGAGAAGCTGACGGCGCACTGGCCGCCCGCTCTGGTCCCCGCGCTCTGCGCGGTGCTCGTGTGCCACCGCGACCTGGAGCGCCCCGCCGAGGCCTTCGCGGCCGGCGAGCGCGCCCTGCACTGCCTGCAAGCGCGCGAGGGCCACCGCTACTACGTCCCTCTGCTGGAAGCCATGGTCCGCCTGGCCTACGAGCTGGGCAAGGATTTAGTGTCGCTACAGGGCAGGCTGGACGACAGCCGGCTCCGGAAGCCCAGCCACGGAGGCTTCACCCTGAAAGAGCTCACTGTCCGGGAGTATCTGCCCTAAGCCAGCCCTGGGCGCCTGGGGCACAGCAGGAGATGCTGGTTCCCTACTGATGGTGGACTGATTTGGGCTTCATTTTTAACGCCAGGAGCCGTTTGGGGCTGTGACTTGCTGGATGGCTCTGGACAAACCCCTCTTTTAAGCCATACGGAATAGAGGGGCTTCTAGGACCCTATGAAGGCCCCTGTGTGTATCCTGTGTCTCTGGATGCCAGCCTTGCTTCATCTCAAAACCACAACTGCCAGAAGTTTGGAACCATGTTTATGTGAACAGCCAGAGGGCAGGTTTACGTTGCTCATCACCGGCCAAGTGCAGTCCATTTCCTTGCTGATGGCGCTCCAGCTGCCCTGGTCCTTTCTCTGCTGTATCTGCCTCTGTGTTGCTTACAAATATTCCCACCCCTTATCTGGATAGTCTAGCTCTTCCCCTTACCTTGTAGACCTCACTCAGTGAAGCAAAAGCTCACCTGTTGCTCCCCACCCCCAACCCCGAGGGTGGAGGTCATATGTGATTCTCAGAAGGGTAAAAGGCCAGAAAGCAACAGTGGCATAAGATTCTGTGGCACAGGCATTTTAAGCAAGGGACATTGACAGTGATTTCTCTGGCTGGTTTGTGGGAACACATTGTCTAGGGGTGGGTTTTCCATTCATAAGGCAACTGTTCCTATGGCTTTCCTAGGTTACATACATAGCCCCAGAAGGAAGTGGAATGATATTCAGTGGGTCATCTGGATAGAAAAGGGACTGTATCCTCAACAGCTCCCCTTGGGAGTGGCAGTGTTCCTGTAACCTCTCTGATGGATTGGGGTGCCCTGAATGAGGTTCACACTCCAAACCCCAGGGGAGGGGGAGTCTGGACTAAGGGTTCAGGCTAGTTTAGGGCCAATATGTGTTTGAGGCTGGAACCCCTGAAGACCTGTCTGAGCTTATCAAGGTGAACTAAGAGACCATAATTTGGAAACCTTAATATGGCGCACCACTTTGACCTGGGCAGGGATCTGGTCAAGGTGGCCATCAACAAGCAATCGCCAAACTGCACCAGAACCTGTTCGACACTGACACCTTGTGGCAGTTTCTGCAGTAACCCTCTTGGGCTCTGCCCTGGAGGTGAGCAGAGACCCCTCCAGACAAAGAAAGCCTTCGCCAGGCCTCTCAATTTCTCCAGGAGAAAAACATTCAAGTAGGAGATGGTCAGACTTCTTGGAAAGCTGGGCATGGGGGAAAGTCAAGTGTTAAGTGGAAAAATAAAAGCAGTGAGTCTATTTGCAATGGTGAAGCAGCTCATACTGATTGTTACAAATTATTTTGTTAAATTTAAAATGTTCTCCATTACAAATGCACCAACTCATTAAGAAAGAAAAAATGTTCAGTGGGCTGTTTAACAGAAGATTCTGAAAAAAAAAAAGCTGAGAAACCAAAGACTCAGATGCCCAGTGGAAGGGTGAATGTGAGATAACAGTTCCACTGAGGTTTGAACTTCTACACCAAAGCTTGTGTTGAACTGTAACCCCCATTGTGGAGGACCAGGGGGTGTTAAGTTAATCCAAAAGTGGTGTGTGGAGGTGGGATGCTTTTGAGGTAGTTAGATTTAGACAAGGTTGTGAGGATGGGGGTCCTATGACTGCACTAAGGACCATCTAAGAACGGGAAGAAGGACTTGCTCTCACCTCGTGAAACCCTGCACAGCCTGAGACTCTGCAGAGTCTAGCCCTCATCCAATACAGACTCCTGACTTTGGACCTCCAGGACCGTGAACTGAATAAATCTTTGTTCGTTAGGAATTACCCAGTCTAGGGCATCCACTTAGAGCAACAGAAAACAGACTGAGACACTTGCTATGCATACAGGGCAATGAGGACATTACCTGAATCAACCTTGACACTGGATGGAGGGAGGGAAGCCCCTGAGAATTTGGACTGCAATCTAGTACACATCCACATTTGGGGGCTGAGTGCACATACCATGATCCAAGGTAACTCCAGCAGATAGTTGTATTAAAGGAGTCTCATTGGAGGTGTGCCTGCTGCAAATGCAAATTCCCACTAAAGGAAGTCAACAAGGATTTCTTTCAGTCAATGAAGAAAGTAATGCATTAAAATGTGGGGGGAAATGCACACAAAAAGAGAAAATAGCTACACGGGATAGAAAAGACCCACAGAAGCATATAGGGGAGTCCCCATCACACGCTCAGAAGGGCTGGGCCCTACACAGTGCATGGGCCTCCCCAACAGGGGCCAGTCAACAGGGCAGCTTTGGGGTCTCAGCGCTCCTCTTCTTGGCAATGCTCGATGCTGCCCTCCCCAGTTCTTCCAACAAGTCTTGGCCCATGGGTGCACTGGAGTTGCTACAGTCATGCACCCGGGGTCCATGCACTATGGTTGTCTCATGGCCTGGGGTGACCATCATGGCCATCTCCTCCTGGCTATTCACCACAGGAGCCAGAGACTCTCCTGTTTCTTGGGTTCCTAGAACAAGTCCCAGAGCTCCTTGGGCCCCTCTTCCAGGGGGAACTGTCCTCCTGGCCCAGTGCACCCCACTGAAGCACTCACTTCTCTGCTTATCGAGCCCCTCTGCCTTGTTCCAGGAGAGTTTGGGGGTGTTGGTGGGCAGGACCAGGCCCCTTCTTCTGACTTCTCAAAGCTGGGCCCACAAGGAGAGGGGCAGAGTATCTCCTACTGAGTGAGGCCTGGGGACCAGCAGCATCAGCTTCCCCGCCACGCTTGACAGAAATGCAGACCCTCAAGACCTTCTTTCTAAACCTGCTCAATCAGAATCTGCATTTGACCCAGATCACTCTGACCCATCCCCACTGGTTCCTACCTGTACCGTCAAGCTCCAGGAGCTCAGCGTGCCTTGGAGAAAATCACCCACAGAGCCTGGGCAGGTCCCTGTCCCCATTCTTCCCCAGCCTAGCCTCTCCCTGCCCAGCTGCTCTTCCCCACAGATGCCCAGCCCAGGGCCCTGGGAGCTGTAGGTGGCAGCTCCAGGTGCAGTCTGACCACCATGTCATGACCTTACTGTGGGCACATGGTCCTGGAGCCTGGAGCCCACAGCCAATGAAAAAATGATCAGACTAACCCATCCCAATAACAGCTTTCCTCTCTCTGTCTGTTCAGACTCCTCTCCCTCTTCCTCTTTTTCTTTCACCCTCCATCTCCTCCCTCCCCGCCTTACTTTTATTTGTATGTTCATACTATTTGACTCCACCTCATTTCTATCATTTCCATATTAAAGGACCCCATCTCCAGTAACGCTTGGGACAGCTCAGATGGAGCAGAACCCTGTGGTCTCCCCTTTGGAAGGGATGGGTGTTCCCGGGAGCCCATGAGCAGGGAGGCTGCAAGTCTCTCAGTATGTACCTGGCTTCACCCATGGTGCTGCCTACCCACTTCTGTGCTGGCCACTCACAAAGGATGACACAGACACCCAGGCTCACACAGTTAACAATTGAAAGAACAGGAAACTGAGCTCAGAACTGTTCAGCCCCAATGTCACCCTTCCCTCACTGTGCCCCACCTGAAAGAGCAGAGGAGAGTCCTCTTACCCAGAAGGCTCCCTCAAAGTCATTTCACTTATCTCTGTCCACAGATGGGGAAACCAGATGGGGAGGTGACTCACTTAAGGTCACAGAGTGAGATGGGGATAGTCTGAGGCCTACACCCAAGGTGTCTGTATCAGTGTGATAAGTTCTGAACAGCATAACCCTGGGTTATTGTCCCAGGAAGCTGTGGGTTCATGCAGGCAGATTTGGGGGTACAAAGTCAAGGCAAAGTCCTAGGCCTTAGCTCTGCTCTGTAGCGCTACTCCCTAGCAGTGACTCTGCCTTCCGCCTTCCAGCTGTTAAATCAGAGCCAGTGTCATGTTGGGGTGGTGCTCCCAACATGTCCCAGCAGGCCTGTCCCCAGTGGGCCTATCCCTAGCAGGCCTCTTCTGGGTTCCCAAGCCCGTCTGCACTGGCCCACTCCTCCAAATACTGCTTTCCAACATCTTAGCTCAGTCACACACTCCTTTCCCTTTGGGACCAGTAGTGCTACCACCTGTTTTACATGGCTCCTTGCTCTTTTCCTTTTAGCAGCCTCCTTTTACTTATGCAAATTTATTTGAAAAAGAAACTTCCTATTACCACCCCAAACAGAGAGTCAGAATCATAAGGCTATAATTGGAAAGTAGATATAAAAATAAACATAATGAAACCTACTGCCAACAGTTATTGTGCCCAAACAGGCCTCTGCCCAATACAGGCTGTCGGGAATCTTGGATTATAAGAGAAAAATCAGAGACAGAGAAGCAAGTGCAGAGACCCGGTGATCAGTGAGCTGAGGCTTCTCTTCCATTCACTCAGAGTGACGGAAAAGAATTCAGGAGGACCTAAGTGTCCTACCATGTGGTCCAGACTGTCCCACACTGTCCCAGCCCACCTGGGTCTGGCCCAAGCACACTGGAAACTGCTGCCTGCTGTTTGCCTTGTGGCCTTGGTCTCCCAGTCAGCAAGTTCTAGGCCCCGCCCTGCTCACTCTCCAGCTCCTAAATTGTGGGCCTGATCTGACTTTGACTGACTGGCTTGGCAGTCAGTGCCTCATCGGGAGGTGGTGCTCAGGCTCCAGCGCCTGACTTCAACCTGATACCCAGTAAGTTGGAGGATGTGTTCTGGGCCAGTCAAAGCCTAAACCTGCAGCATGCTCTTTGATGGCTGTCTAGGTCCATCTAGCTGTGACCCCCTGGGGAGAGCAAGCAAATGCGCTTTCCCAAACAGGCCAGGCAGAGAGCCCCTCACCCCACAGGCGGCAGCAGTAGCACGGGCCTCACACTACCATCCATCCACCCCCTTGCTTCCTCAGTACAGGCCTGGGAAGAACTGGGGATACAGCAGCAATCAGGTCAGACCTGACCCCTGCCCTCCCAGGGGCAGCGTGTCAGGAGGCCACTCACAGAGCAAACAGAAGCTGGGACAGCATCATCCTTCAGCCAGGTGGCCAAAGAAGACTTCTCAGAGGAGGAGCTGTTCAAGGGAGTCACAGAAGATGTAAGGGAGCCCCAGGGTAGAGTACAATGTGGGGAGTGAGCATTTTAGGCAGAGGGAAAACAGATGCTCAGCCTCAGGCCAGAGCTGCCTCTAACCCTCAGGAATCTCAGTTAAAGTCTGTCTCTGGCTGTGCCACAGAGAAAATGGACTCCAAGAGCTAACAGAAAAAGCCTGGTATGTTTTTTTTTTTTCTATACGTGGTCCATTAGGATGACTAGATGTTACAAAGTGAATGCACTGGGGAGCTTGTGCTTGGGGCATGCAAACCTTTTGGATCACAAGAGACAAAAATCCAAGTTAACCTACAAGGAGGGAATTTATCATCTGAAAAGTCCAGACTAGAGACTCAATCTTTGTCCTCTTTCACTTTCACTTTCCCTGACAGTTAGCTGTGCTGCTCTCTGCTTTGCCTTCTCTCCTCAGGGTGACAAGATGGCTGCAGCAGCTCTGAGATCACATGCTTCTTTCTTGGCAACCAGAATACTCCCCTGCCTGGGTTGTTGTGAGGCCCCCTTACCTATAGGATATATTGGAAGCCCACCTCTGTCCTTTCCTGAGGCTGTTGGGGGTGGGGGAGCAGCTCTCTACCCACCACAATGTACAACTACAGGAGTCCAGCAGGGCACCCTTGAACAGAAATAGTTCCTGAGCATGGTGTTTTGGAATCTGCTTTTTACATTGCATTTCCCTGTAATATACAGCATCCTTGCATGCGATTTGATGATTTTACTGTGTTCTAACGTACCTGCCCACAGTCGTTTTAATCAGTAAACCTCAGCAGCACACGTTCTCCTACTTCAGGGAACACTGCAAGGCCAGCCTGTGCGTGTCTTCTTGAGTTTGCACGCTCTGACAGCAGCGTTTAACGATGAGACTCCTGAATTTCTAAACACTTTTGACTCTTTCTCATTTTTCTTTTTAAATTGACAAAAAAAAAAAGTGGCATTTATGAATCATTAATGTAGCAGGGAGGAGGGCCAGAAAAGAAACAGGCTGTGTTCTGAGGACGAGACGGGGGAAGGGATGGCAAAGCAGGATGTAAAACTTAAAGCATTGAAACATAAAGAAGGTCACACAGCACTGAGAAAATGCAATAGCCAATGGAGTCACATGCAGCCATATGTGGGTTGAGCTTTGCTTTTCGCTTCTGTAACCTGCTTGCAGGGGTATGTAAGGTGAGACCCCTTTGTTCTCGGGGCTCAGCCTTTGGGCACGAGTCCGATGGGTCTGTGCCGCCCGGTAAACGTTGCTTCCTGCTAATCTGCCTCGCCGTCCCGTATCTCAGCTCGTAATTTCCCGCAACATTAACAATTCCGATGATTTTGGTACTACGTGTAATTTCTCTGTGCCAGGAAAGGCTCCTCCACCCGCTGGCGCGAGCTGCCATTCCTTGGGTCGTCCACAGCACCGGAGTTTCAAACTCTGTAAGTTTCAATCTTGGTCCCTTTCCGCCCGGCACTTCCGGCGCGAAGTGGGCGGGAGGCTGGGGTCCCGCCACGCACACGGCGGCCGGCAGAGGGCGCTGCCGCCCGGCGGCTCCCGACGTCCCGGCGCCCCGCACACAGAAACGAAGAGAAACCGGAGGGGCTGAAAAAAAACAGATCCCCGATTGTGCAAAGCCCGACGGGGGCCGAAACAATGCTAGAAAGAAAGGGCTTTGCTGGACAAGTGCGGATACTTTGCTGTCTCCGCAATCGCTCCCCTTTGTTAGGAGGCCTGCATGCTTCCCACTTGGGGTTCAAGTCCTCGCCTTCCCGCTTTCTGTCCCTGTCCCCGGAGGCCCCAATAGGAAGGAGGAGGCAGCTGCCCCCATCTCGATGGCCGCCGCCCCTCCTCCTCCTGCAAAGGAGACTTCAGAACAGGTCGCGTCCATCGGGGTCAGCTTCGACTGACCTCCCTCCATGCGGCAGGAGAAGCCCCTTCCCCACACGGGACACGGGCAGGAGGCCTGCATCGCG